TGGTTGCAGCCCAAAAATGCCAAGGAAAAATCCTTCCTTGGTCTGTAGCACTGGGGGAAACTTTCAACTATGTGGTTTAATGTTTGCACTGTGTGCCCTCCTGTGTGGTTCAGGACAAAATGACTAATCCTATTTATGAATTTAAATTGTTGTCATTATTTCTCAGAATTCATGATTAATAATAGGGGCCTGAGGTCTGAGAAAACCGCAAACATCACAACTGTCTATCAGCGATGGTAGAACAATTTGACTGAGAATCTAATTTAAGATCCCTAGGCAACTAGATGTTTTCAATTAATACTGAATTTTCTGGGTTTATGCCCTGAATAGTTATGAATAGTTATGAGTTCACACATCATCTTTTTTTCATGGTGGAGTACTATTTTTCTACTTTGTATAATTGCACTTCTTGTTTCTCCTACGTATCTGTTAATGTCTCTTTTATAGACGTGCATGAGAACTAAAAGAATTAGTACAAGGCCTGGACAGACTGTTTTACTGCAGCTAGTTACAGGGATTTCCCTCAAGACCAGTTGTTTGCACACAGTTACTTTTACTTAAAACTGATGAAATAATTAAAACAAATCCCCTGTGCGCCTTGGGATAGAGTTCTGGTTGAAGCCATATTTAAGTAGTTCTCTATAACAGGTTTTTTTGTTTGTCTTTTTTAAGGCATGAAATGCAGCTTAGGAGCTCTTCATTAATAAAAATAGATTTTTGCAAAACACCTCATTAATATGCATAAAGGTGTGTCTGGGCACCACAGAATAGGAGAAACTCCAGTTTTGTTGATCAAAATACTTCGTTAAACCTGGCTGCTTGCCTTTTTTTTTTTTTTTTTTTTTTGCTGAGTTTTGAAGGCAACTGTGATGCTCTGCGGTGGCTTCGGGAGGTGGCTCTGCTGACGGCAGGGCTTGGGGCAGCTGCTTCACCAGAGGTGTCTGCTCCGAGGTGTGGGCGGGAGGAGCAAAACCTGTGAGATCTAGGAAGCTTGCTCACAAGCATCTTCATTTCGGTTTGGAAACCAAGTCGTGTAAAACCTGAAGGGAAACCTTCCATGTCCCCATCTCCTCTTTCAAGCAGACTCTCTTGCATAGTTCACAAAGGCGAGCTCCCCACGGAGTTGTTTTTGTCCTTCCCTGAAGTGTTACGGGTGACCTTGTGTTGGATGTCAATACTGAACTTGGAGGGGGGAAAGTACCACGGGGGTGGTGGGTTGTGACTCAGGAGCAAAGCTCAGAACTCACACCTGCAGGAGGACTGTGCCCAGCCACACCAGCTGGGATCTGACACCAGTGCTTTTGAACCCCACTCAAGATCCAGAGCAGCAGCTCCGGCTCTTGCAAAACACGCTAGCTTTTCAAATTGTACAGCTTGCTGGGTAGCAAGAGACGCACAGGATTTATCGGGAGCTTTCAACTTTATTTATGACAAAACAAACCTTTGCCAGGAAGTACAAATAACACAGGGCTGCCATCCTATGTATTCTGCTAATGCATTTATGTGCTCTTGCTCTGCTTTCTCTCACTGATGCTGTCTCTCATTTTCAGCTTGTAGCTTTAATAATCTATGCCACTTCCTTCTGTACAATCTTCCTCCTGCAGCTTTCATTTGACAGCTCTGTTTTTAATAGAGGATAACCATGAAACTCCAGCTGAATCTGAAGACATATTTCTACTCTCATACTGCATTTATTCTGCTACTCAGAGAGTTCACTGTCTCGAACAGAGGAAAAAGTATTTTTCACATATTAAGTTGAGATGTACAATAGCTTTCCAGAGGTATCATTAATTCAAACTCAAGCTCAGAGTAAGTTACCTTGTAGTAAAAAGACAAATACACATAAACTCTGTTACTTGGATAATAGGCTTGATTCAATTGCTTATCAGGGTGATTGCAGTAATATGCCAGGCAGCCCAATTCAGGGAAGAGTCCCATTTTGTTATGTACTGAATGAAAGTGTCATAATATCAACATGCCTGCCTGCCTGGATTTTAAGATATAGCTGGAAGTATTGGTTGAAACAAAGAAGTGAATTGGATGGCAACGTGAAAATAAGAAATAAGAAAATGCTAACTGTGAAATAACTGTTTCAAGATAATTTGTTCCACGATTCTCATCAGGTCATTATAACATTTTCCTTGTACTATGTATTGTAGGATAGGTTAAGACTCATTGTTTCACAGTGATGCTGCTAAATTGAAGAATTTCCCTGCATGTTTGTGTTTGTTAATGTAAATGACAACCTTTAATTTGTCTGTCCTCTCTCTTTCATATGGGAAAGGATGTAAATGTCTGTCACAGCTAATGAAAAAAAGTAGTGTAATTCTGGAATATGGGATATATTTGCCATCATATAGTTGCTGTTACAGACCAGAAGATTAAAGCAGGATGGTGGCTATGGGTTTGTCTGATGCTGTAGGCAAATGAGACCCAACTTTTTGTGACCTGCTCTCTGCAGTAACTTTGGGAACTGTCTTGGTGGAGGTATGAAGTCTAAGTAAAGGAGCTGCTTGCTATTTAATGCATTTTTATGTCATATATTGGCATGAGACTTCAAGCTGTTAGTGAGTTAAGTGCTTCAGAAGGAATGCTTCACCAGCATGGAGTAATAAAGAACTGGTGTTTAACAGCTGAAAATACTTAATGTCATCAACAAAGTCAGTTTTCTAGCAAACGGATTCTCTACCTGCTAAGTGGCATCAGGTGCATGGCACTGAGATGGGCTGTGCCTCAGACAGGGCAGGAATCACAGGTGATTTCTTTCAGGTTTGTCACGGGGCAGTTGCAGGAGGGCTCTGCAGGGTGGCTTGGCTCTCCGGGGGAAGCTGCACACCCACGTTTAGATCCTTGGTAAAATCAGTCTCACAAAGAAAGCTGTGCATTGTGGTGTACAGTTTCTTTTTTTTTTTTTTTTTTTTTTTTTTCCCTCACTAGGGAAAAATTCCAAAGGATCACATTTCCAACAAGAGCCTGAAGATAAGACACTTCTGCACCAACCAGCATCCTTCATTCCCCTGAGGACTATCGGGTATGTATTTGTGACTGGAGGGACAAACATGGACCAGCTTCCTGAAAGAGGACCTTTCTCCTCTCTTTCCCTTACCAGTGAGGCTTTCCCCATAAGCTTTCTTCCCCTTCTTTCACTCTGTCAGCTTTTTCCAAGCCCTTCTCCTTGCAAAGAGTTAAAACAAAGCAATTTTCCAGAGCTAGCTTTGGTCCTACACGTGGTTATGAAATGACAACAGGTAAAAGTAAACATCACAAATCATAGGAAGGAAGTGCAATTAAATATAATGTAAAGGAGCACTGGTCAGAAGAGCTGTTTATATACCCCAAGAGCTGGTGCCCCAAGCCAGGGAGATGGGCTGGGAGAGACATGAATGGGAAACCAAAGTGCTTCCGGGAATTTGCATCAGGGATAGAACTTTCCAGAAAAAGTTGAGTTCATTGAGTAATATGATATGCTGAACAAACAGCAGTGCCTTCTTTCTTTCACAGATATTCCTGTTTTGTTGGCTTGGGTTTTATTGCTTTTTTTTGTTTGTTTGTTTTGTTTTGTTCACCAACACACCCCTCTTTTTTTTTTTTTTTTTTTTTTTTTTTAATTTATTTTATTTTTTTATCCCTTCCTTATGCCTTCGTTTGTGGGTATTCTTTTTCACAGAATCATGGAATCATTTTGGTTGGAAAAGACCTTTAACACCATTTAATCCAACCATTTTCTCTAGGTCTTTTCCCAGTTATGTTCCTGGCCTACCCTGGTTCCTTGGGGATTATAGATTCCATAGACCATTTTGAGGTGTCCATCTATTCTTTCCTCTTTCTCAAATGAGATTTATTCTGTCACTAAACAATATTCATCTCCCGATCTTGAAATAATTTCCCGTACAGGAAGACTGGCATGCAAAGATGTTTCAGAAAAAGTGGGAAAATAATGAATCAAATTTTTTGTTTCCATTTGACAAGCTCTTGGGAATCAAAAGCTCTTTGAGAAGAAATTCAGGGTAAAACATTATTAAATGAGATACTAACAATATACCATTTGATCAGCTCTACTAAAAGAGACTCTGTGAACCACCTTGACCTCTAATGTCTCCTTTGTATAATCCCTGCGACATGAGATTTGCTATGAGAAATGGAACAAGATTAATAATTAATACATTTGCTGGTGTCTGAAATAGCGACACAAGGTTGGCTTTAGACACATGTTTTATTAATGAGGTTTGAAAACAATTGCTTTCTCCCAGCAACAGACAGCTCAGACCTTTATACTGAAAAAAAAGGAATGGAGGTAGTATCTGAGGTTTTTTTGTTGATGTTGTTGTTCCCCCCCCCCCCCAGGGCATTAACAGAACTCAGTCACCACATATAAACGTTGTGAAAAAGATTGTGAAGTTGTGAAGAAGTGAAATGGGGAACAAGCTTAAAATAAATTCTGAATCGTCTCAAGGCAGCATACGTGCTCTTCCCAATTGAGCTGAAATGCGAAACATGTCAGAGCACAACTCACCGTTTTGCAAACTCTGTAAGAAAAACAGTGTTTCTTACTCTGTTAATGTAACAAAGTATCAGTGTGGCAATTAAGGGTAAAATGGTTTTCTCACTCAGACTTCACTTTGCTACAGAAAATAGAAAACCTAACTTTTTGCAACGTTGTACCTCCCCAATTGTAACTACCTGTGGTATTACAAAGAGAGCACTGTCTTTAAAAGTGGAAACACCTTTATTAAGTGAAAATAATTGCACTTATCTTCCTTGACCTGTTGGTTTTCTAGAAGTTACTCTTGTTCCTGAGAACTAGCAGCCATCAGATGTCCGTTTTCATTATTAATATTTACAAGGAATTTTTTTTTTTTTTTAAGAATAAACACTGCTGAACTAAGCCAAACCTTTTGAACAGAATCACCAATGATACCTTAATTATCCAATAAATTACAATTCATGTGCAGAATTAATCGGAAAATAATGCTCTAATAAATATGATCTTCCCAACTTACATGCAAATTGAAGCTTTGCCTTCCTGCTCAGAATTGTTCCAAATGAATTTGTGGCCAAACACTGGTATGTTCCAATATCCTGTTTTTTATGTGGGTTATTGATTGCCAAGCTGCCTCCAACCAACCTGTAGTGATAACTCATGGTAAGATCAATATCTGTGCCATTTTGCTTCCACCTTTGAGGGGAAAAAAATCAAATTATGCTTATAATTTACAGAGCCTATTCATATTTATCTTAAATACTGTGCTGTAGCATACCTGTAATGATAAAAATGTAGTTAAATATCACAAAATTATATCATTTTTCACACAAGACTGCTTCTTATATCAATCTTAATTATATCAATAATTCTGTTCTTTGAAAAATCTTTACTGCCTTTATGCTAGTCACCAGTGTTCATCCAAATGTCTACAAAAAGTAATTATAACTTATTCATACAAACTAAGTTACTAAGTTATCCATCCAGTTGGGAATATGGTATATGCCTCGACTACAGCTACCTTATTTTTTATAATAAAAATGATACATGAATGTGCTTTACAGTCTTTGCAGATGATATCATAAATTTGGTTACAAAAACAATTTGGAGATATAGATCAGGAAGGATTACACTTCAGAGGACAGATGAAAGCAGAAAGAGGTTTTATACAGCAAGTTTGAGACTGATAATTTAATGATGAGAATGCTGTTATTTTAAAATGATTTGTCCCTGTTAGTCCACTAAGTAGAAAATGTATCATGTCTGCAACATTACACAAATATTTACACGTGTCAGAATAAAATTTATATTTCAAAGTAAATAAACATTATGTTTTAAGAAGAGAAATTTTGTGGCTTTACCATTAGTCACAAAAGTTGAATTTTCATTGTCCACATGCAGTCCAAAAAAGAATGAAGGACCTGTCACTGGCAACTGCAAACTTCAATCTTGTTAATGACACACTTCAGGCTGTCAACTATCCTAAAACTACATAACTGCATATTTTCCTCTCCTACTTTTATAGCACAGCCATCTCTTCAGCATGTATCATTTCTGTTGAGCTATGTCGGTGTGATGCCTACCTCTCCATAGGATGCAACGACCACACAGAATTTGCTAATGTCTCACTTTGGGTTTACAGAAGGCTCTATGGCAGTCCTCAAAACAAGGGTAGTTATCTCCTTGTTAATTACCTGAAGGATCACAGTATAAAAAAAATCTCTATTTCTTCTTATCTGCAGCAAAGAACTTATTGACGGTGATGAGAGTTTCCACAGTTAATCAGTTGAAGCAGACTTGCCCTGCTTATACAGAACAATACTTTACTTCTATCACCCACAGACCTCTCCCTAGACAGTCAGACTGCACAGGTAATCGTTCTTTTGGAGGAAGATTTTCAAACTGTGCTGTGAAATGCAATTCTATGTTCCAAGGGAAATCTTGACAAATATGTACAGAGGAAGCGAGGATCCTGACCTTTCAAGTGGGCACTTGTTCTTTTTAAAGATGAGAAATGACTGATTAAAATATGAAATCAATTGAATTCTGTGAACCAATTCTAGTAACATTACATTTATCTGGGTCTGCCAATCACTGCATCCCTTTTTATGAATGCATCAACATGAAGCTATTTAGATGCAACAATGGATCATCAGTAATTCTTCCTACCAATTGCAGCTGATTTTTGTCCTTTCTGTATTGCTACTCTATTCCTTTTTTATGTTTTGCTTTATTTGGTTTGCGTTTTTGCTGTTGTTTTGGGGTATTTTGGCTTTTTTTCTTTTTTTTTTTTTTTCTTTTTTTTTTTTTTTTTTCCCCCAAAGATGAGCAAGAGCAAAATCTTAACTGGTGCCCATCCATGAGCCTGTTCTGTGAAGCAGTGGTCTGTATCAGTGTTAGAATTTTGCCATATTTCAAGATGTACATATGGTACGTGCTGTCTAAGCCTTTCAATTTTCTAACATAGGATACTCTGGTATTTAGTTTGTCAGTTCTCTTTAATTTCAGAATCAATCACTGAAATAACTGCTGTCATCATTACATGGTTCCCAATTAAGCTCTATAATTGTTTTTCAAAACAAATGCAAAGTTATTGGCTTAGTTGCTGCAAATGAATTCTTCACAGTATCCCCATAATCATTCTAATCACCGTGGTACAATGATTATTAAACTTTGCATATAGATCAGGGGTTCATATCCTGGTGTGGGCTTTTTCCTAATTAATATGTTTACATCACTGAAGGAGGTGAATTAATGAATTCATGTGATAGACAATGATTAAGTGACTTTGTGTGTTCTGAAGTATACTGTCTAATGCATAGAAATCTTTGAAGAATTATTTTAAGAAACTTTTAACATAAGCCTGTTAAGGCTATATATTTTCATGAACTTCATGCAACCACTGGAAAATACTTTTCATCAGTTATAGGACATCCATCCTGGACTGATTGTTTTGGAACCTAAACTTTAAAGAAATATGCTATATTCTGATGCTGAATTCATTAGTTCCCTAGGAATTTAAGATTTCTCAAATCATATTGATATGTCCAAACTTTAAAAAAAAAACAAAAACAAAAACAAAAAACAACCCCCCCCAAACAACTGTACGTTTCAGAAATTAATAGAACAAATGATCACATTCTATTCACTTCAAAATCTAACTTTTCCTAGAGCACAAGTTATAAAATGTTCCCAATAAATACTTCATTAGGTTAAAGACTTTCAGAACAGACATAGGGGGACCCTTCCCTCCTTCCTATCTTGGTTTAAAGATCCCAAGCAAGAGGTAGTCTATTTTCTCTTGTTCTCTTTTCTTAAATTGATACCAATTTATCTTAATGTTCCAATATACCAGTATAATTCTAAGTCACTGGGTTATATTAAATCTTTGGTGATGGACTTATTGGGGACTTCCTTTTAAAGTGCACTGCAGTCAAATTGCTGATATAAGGATAAACTTGTAATAAATGATTTCCTCTTATTTGTACTACTTAATCAATACTTGTGATTTGATATTCAAATAGCCTCCATCTTCAAGCAGATAAAAATGAGGGGGAGTAGAATTTATTAGTGAACATGAATATGTGAGTAATGTTTATTTACAATGCAACCACAAATTATGCAATCTGTCTTTAGGGTAATATAAAAGAATTGTGGAGAAAAAAAGAAATAATATCATGTTTTCACACTGAAAAATAATTGATCTGGCTAAAAATGTTCAAAGAACACAGAAGCACATAAAACTTATAAAATGGTGAAATATTAGAGAGCTTTGCAGAATACAAATATTCCTCGGACTTGTTTGAGAAATGTCAATATGTTTCATTATACACAGGTTGACTCTTAAGCTGTACACCCACAGGTTTCCCTGGTGTTTAGACTTCCCTTGTCCCCTCTGAGCAAGTTTCTGGATCTGCTGACACCATGATCCCAACACCTCTCCCGACACCCCGACCCATGTTCAAATAAATGCAGCAGAGCTGGGGAGACAAAGTCCTCAGCCTGGAGATGCCACTTTATAAAAAAAAAAATAATACAGGCACAAGGCATCTGTCTTGCAGTCCAACACTTGCACAGGCTGATAATGAGCTTCAGAGCAAGAGGTTTGTTTCAGGGAGTTAAAACTGCTGTTTGGTCACCTATGATCTCTGATATTTTGGTAGGGAAAATTTTAACTCTTGACATAACATTATGATTTCTGATAAGTGGATTATTGCCCAGGAAATTTCTGATCACATTTGTAAGGATACTATACAGTGCTATATAATGTCTAAGTAACTATAATTAAATGAGTCTCATTTCTACAATTAATGAATCTGGAAAAGAGTATTGTTCCATAGAAACTATTTAGAAAAAAAAAAAAAAAAAGAAAATTATTTTAGAAGATATGACTTCTTTTTGGAAATGAAATGTGAAGGTGTATCGATGTCAGAGAAACTATCAGTGTATCAATGTTGAAACAATTAAGGAATTAGTAAAAGATTGCACTTAGGCAATGCGCAATCTTTTTTAGAGTTTCCTGCTGAAAAAGCTTCTTCCAGCTCTACAAATAAAATCCCGGAAGTTTTACAAAGCATACATGGCTGTGTCATGATTTTGCACCAAAGTTATCACAGCTGTATGTATCTTTCTCTCCTACTTTTTCTGTGGTTATATGCATATATGGTATAATTAATTACATTTTCATTGTACTGCTATAATAAAAATATGGTGTTTTTTTTTAAAGTGTTCTATGTTCTTTAGTTTATTTGTATTCAAATGGAAATGTCCTGCTAAATCACCTGAGACTTGCTTGTAATTGGGAAAAAAATTTGCAAAACCCCCTAGTATATGGTATTTCCATAGAGGAAGAAAATAGAAAGTTTAAAAACTATTGACTGTGCACAAGACAATAGAGGTTGAAGGCATTTTTAACTCTAATTCACTTTTCAAGCAGAATCTGCAATGAGTCAAGGGACAGCATTTAGTGAACAAATACACTATAGCAGGGTTATCATTTTCTTTTCAAGTGTATGAATAAAATAAATATATTTTGGGGGTTACTGGGAATCATTCTACAATTTTATGCAATGATTATAAACATATTTTATGTTATGTGTAATCACTGTAGACTTTGTGCTTCTGTTCCCCTTACTTTTATTTGTCTGTTACAATTATCTTCTGTGGTACCTTGGATTGAATTTGAATCTCTTTATCTTATTTTATTGCATCATTCGATATTATATTAAAATATTAAAGTATTGTTATAATGAATAATGCTTATGCTTTCCTTGGATTTCTTGTTTATTTGTTCAATTAATTGCTTTCTGTGAAGATTATTGAGGAAAAAAAATCCTCAATTTCAAACTTGTGTGAAAATGCTAGATTACGTGATTATTCTGGATACCAATGTAAATTCAGAAAAAGATTTAGAACTAAGCACCTGAAACCAAACAGGACATGTGAAAATATTGTAGAAAACATTTGCCTGGCAGGTTCTAACTGATTTCTTTCTGTTTTGTTTTGTTTTTTTGTTTGTTTGTTGGTTTGGTTTGGTTTTTTTGTTTGTTTTATTTTGTTTGATTTTTTTTTTTTTTTTTTTTTTTTTCAGTGTAGAGGAAGACTGGCTTTACAGAACTGAATGACTTAATGGAAGAAAACTATGCAACTGTGATATGCTCATGGATAGGCTGTAAGTAGAAGAAGTAAAATTCATTACTTAATTTAGTTGATGATAATCAACTATAACAGAAAATCTTAAGTGCAAACAATTATAAATCTAATTTGAAAGGTTAAGTTTATTTATCATCAGCATCACACAAGGAAACAGTTGAAATAATGTACCTGATAGAAACAATTTTGACTCTATACAAAAAGACATAATAGATAAAATGCTATTTTTCAGGATATTTATATAGATTTCCTAACATGTGTGCTGATTTTAGAGATACTTCTATCCATATTTTTGTTTCCACTGTAATCAGATCTATGTTCTCTGTTACTTCCTACAGTGCCCAACAGGAAATCAGTGTTTCTCATTATTACTTGGCCCTTATGCAATTCCTACATTGTGATTGTTAGACACACAGGATTTTGAAATAAGTTGCAAAAGTTCACTACTATATTCACTGAGTCTATAAGACTAATACAGTACATAATAAAATTAAAATTTTAGGAAATGCTAGGTGTTTTTTCTTTAAAGAAAAGGTATTAATTAGCAGATTTATTTCTGTAAAAGGTATTAAATAGAAAATTAGCTTGTATATAACTTTATTCCTGTAGTGGTAGTACTGTATTTCTGAATCAAAGAAAAACCTTACAGTAGTCCTTGCTGTTCTTTTCCTTTGCTCAACAAAGGACATGATTAAAATTTCATACTGTGCTCGATTTATCTAAAATTGTTGGAACTTTAAATATATGGGCTTAATCCTTATCTGGCAAAACTGGCATTAGCTCTAGTGAAATCAAAGAAAAGTGCTGAAGACTTCCCATTCTTTTCAAGTCATGGCGAAAAGCTCCCAGGTTGTAATAGCAGCAGTGATAGTCTGATAACTTCTAATTGACCTAGAAGGTTCAGGGTCCATCCCCAGATGTTGATCTTGTCTTACTAAAGTAACTGAGGCTTTGCAAAACCTCCTTATAGTGCAATGAAAATAATTAATCTAATTAATGTATGGATAAGAGAAAAGAAAAAGAGAAAATATGAATATCAGCTATATGATGGGAAGAGACTTCATAGCTCTAATGTCTAATGCAACCTCTTGTCTTTACTACTGGTGCATATGAGGAGTCCAGTGTTGGAATACAAGAGCCAATAATCTTTATAGGTCTCTGAGGAACCTCCTGTATAAATGGATATGTAGCAAATGGATGGATGAACTGGAAAGACTTGAAATTCATTACATGAACCAGTAGATGTTCATGCTGAAAACAGAAGGAACAAATGGGATGGGAAATGGGTGAGGATTTCTACTCGGGAAGAGAAGTTACACTGAGAAAAGGAGATAAAGTATTCCCTTACTAGAACATTATTTGGAAACAAATTAATACATGAAGTATAAAAACCATGTTGATAACTAGTAGTGGTACTTTACAGAAGAAACTGTTGTGTGATCAATTAAAGGCTATTGAATATATACTAAGTATTTGGTAGGACACCATTTTCTTTCATGCCTTGCATGAATATTATTTTTTCTTTCCTTTTCTTGGACCATTATTATCTTCATTCTTTTCTGAAGAAAGCACCCTGTTATGTTTTTCCAGATTTCCAGCTTTTCCTCTTATTAGACACAGGTTTCCAGATCCTTGGTGCAACAAGCTACATTTTAAATGATGGGTCCAAAATTATTCAATAAACAAACAATCCTATGTACCAAGCTTTTATTAAGTGAGTCTATGGAGTATTGTAAGCTAGATATCAGAGCTGTGCCTTGCTGTTTCTCTAAATAAACACTATAAATATATACATGAAATGTTAGAATTAGAAATGAGCAAGGTTGTTGTTCTTTTTCTTTCCAAGCATTTATTGATGTATGGAAAGTTTTATCAAATACTGATGTGCAGCATTTCCATTTTTCACAGCTTTTCTGTGGGTTCAGAAGTAATTTTGTATGTTTTAAAATACTTTGGGGACCATTTTCAATGATGTGCTTTCTTTCCCTCTGTTAATTTTCTTAAGAGTAGACTAGTAAAAATATTTTTCCATCATTCCTCAAATTTACTATACCTGTGTATGCTCTTGCTGTGAGTGCTTGACACATTTTGAGGTATGTATGAGAGTGTACTACTGATTAAAACACAGTGAAAAGATTTACAGTAAGACAATACTTTTTCAAATTTGACTTCACCTGTAGTATGGGAGTGGATATCCTTTAGCTGTACAGTTCAGTAGGACTTCTGGATTTGCTGAGCCCATGGAATAAGTGATATCATAGGGTTCTTGGATAAAAATAGGACCGTGAAGGGTTTCTTCCCCTGTGAAAGAAAAACAATCATTTAAGATTAGACATCTTTAGCGTGTCCTTACACATAAAAGTGTCCTTTGGTGTCCTTTGCTTTTCGTCAGAAGTTAAGGTCTGCTATTATATTCATCACAGAATCCACCTCCAGACATTTGACTATTAAGGAGGAAATATTTCAAGCCTGATTGATAATAAAATCACATATCCTAGGTGTTGGTGATTTATTTTGCAAGTGACAGTGAAGACCAGTTTCTCTGCATATTTCCTATGGAAGCTATATGGGCATCTATTCCATCTCCCCCATCTACCTCGTACTTGTGCTTTAGATCGCGACTGGGAGCTGGAGAGGTTGAGGATGTGGCTTTCCATGTTTGCTGCTTCTACCCCCCTGCTCGCCGGGTGAAGGGGATGTGTCAGCCTCGGGTCACCCTTCCAAAGCCAGGCAGCTTGCTGGCTGCAGCCAGACTCTGGCTACACCGGCGTTTCGTTGCGGACCAGCAACAGCTTCTAGGTCGGGACGTATGTCGTGGTGGGGCAGAGATCCTGAGCTTTCCTATCCTCTGCCATTTGGCCTCTCTTTCTGGTGATGGGATCCAGGAGGCCACATCGTAGTCGAAGGGAATCAGTCATTTCCTTCTCCTCTAACCCTTCCCATCCTTTGATATATTAGTTTTGTATATTTTAGCTGGCCCAGTTTCAGAGTTTGGTCTGTGGGGATTTTTCTGGTTTTGTTTTGGTTTTGTTTGTTTTTTTTGTTTGTTTGTTTGTTTGGGGTTTGGTTTGGTTTGGTTTTCCCCTCATTTGCACCCTTTTAAAACAGAAGTAGCATTAAATAAAAGTTGACTGTGCATCATTTTCACTAGAACCTCTATCTTCCTGGTGACCCGCAGAGTCTAATTACAGCATGTGAACACAAGGGGACAAGAGACATGTGGGTTGGGGCAAGGCCCATTTGCTTCCTCAAAATCTCAGAGATTCCTGCATGGAAAACTTTCACATAGATTGAACAATTTTTTCACATCTATAACCCAATCATAGTGACAGAACAAATGAATGATCCCAGATCCTTGAATAAAGCTTAGTGACTGGACCATCCTCCAGTTCTCAGATGTCTTACATGAGTCCAAGTAGCCCAGAAAGTTTGTAGTACAGTTACACAGCTGGAAAGAAGGGGTATTAACAAGAAAAAAACAAAACAAAACAAACCAAAAAACTAGTTGCTTTACAGTTGTATTCTGGAAGCAACACAAATGTTGGCAGTAATATGTCTGATTTTATTCACCTATTTTGTCTGCTTGTTGGTAATGAGAGTAGGAAGGTCCAACCTACTTCCCAAAGGCTGCTGCTTCACCACACCTTGTGTCATCGCTTCAGTCCCCAGGTTGCCAAGTGCAATCCTCTTGCTCTGTAACTCTATAACTCCTAGACGATTTTCTCAGCTGCTACAAATAGGTCTTGCTCTACTGACACCAGCAGAGTCTCCTCCTGCATCCCCGAAGATGGTCAGCTGTCCTGAAGCATTAACTCAGCATGCACCCCCCAGCAGCTCCCCACGCTTCACCCCAGCCAGCTCAGCTCTGGATGCTGGCACCCTGTCACCCCAAGCACCTTCTGCAGGGCCATGAGCAGCTGCCCAGAGTGCACGTCAAAAATCAGATCATCTGTGTCTGCTACCAGCTGTATACATATTCATCTCCCTTTGTGCTGTTCAACCACTTCAATCTATTTCCTCTAAAAAAAGCCAGATCAGCATTGTTGTCAGCTTTCATCTTTTTGTGACACTTGCTGTTTTACTAAGAGTCCTAATCCTGGGATTCTATGAATAATTTTTATCTGAAGTGATGACAATATAATATTTAATTTTTTTAAAATATCATTGATTTTTAATCATTATTTCATATCTGAAATACTTTTAACTAAACCAGAAAAGTTAAAAACCTCATCTTTCTCAAAGTAAAAATGCTTTTTACTGATGAATGTAGTCAGACTTTTCTATTTCAGTAGGTCTAAAGCAAAGAACATCTGGCAAAACTCTAGAGAGTGATGAACAAATTAAAATGTTCCATACTTAAGCTTCTTTGACCAGAAGCCTTTTTAAGGATGGCATCTGATAATTGCATTGTTTTCTACATATCTTAATAGAGATGCCCATTCCTATCTGTCTGCTAGCCCCATTTACACTGTATATCCTTACTCAGAAAGTCAGCCCAGCTATGAGTGTGTTTTCATGAGCAGTACCTATGAGAAATAGCCTTCAAGAGATTTGGAGTAAAACTCAAAGTAGCAGTCAAAAAAGATTGATCTGTTTTATACCACAATAGCTGTTTGGGTAGACACATCTCGTTTTAAGAATATCTTATGTTATAAAGGAGATAGCGTGGGCATACTAGAAAGAAAAAATACATCCTCTCAGTTTAGGATATAAAGTAAGTCAGGCTAGTAAAACAGCTGAGATGAGCTAGTGGTTTGATGACAAAATATTAAACTTGGCTGAACATTATATGAGATATAAGTGACATAACAGACCATAAAATGTAGTAAATCACATAAAATGTATCCGTTTCGATAACTTTTTCATTCTGTTAAACTTTGCAGACTACATGTGAACTTAGAGCAGACTCCAAGTATTTCATGGCTTACCCATAACTAGTGGACACAAGTGAAATTCTCTGAAAACATGAAGCAAACCCAATGGAAGAAGCTGTTGCTCAACTACATTCAAGACATGATAGGGCCTTGCTGTTTGCTTTTGGTGGGGTTACTCAAATACCTAAAATGAGTGTGCATTTCAGCAGTTATCTCTGTCTAGAGCCTAAATTCATAAATTTTTAATTCTTTGTATTGTGGTATTTCCAGGGGTCTTTAGTCATAGAGCAAGATGCTGTAGGAAAAATAAATAACTCATATCTTACAGTTCCAGCCTTCTGATCAGAAAGTTTACACATCTCCCAATATTGACCTGAGACCCCAAAATATTTTTCCTTTATTTAATACTTTCAGAATCAAACGACTGTAAAATAAACCAGAGCTATTTCTTTTTCTCATGGTAGTCTGTCTTGTTGTGGGGAGTAAGGGAGAAGACAATTTGTTCAGCAAACAATATGGGGCAAGGCAGAGTGGCTCTCAAGTGGTGGCTGGATATAGTTAAATAATCTTTGTTTTCCTGATACTGTTCTATTTTTAATCCCTTGACAAATTTTAAGACTTCTTTTTTCACTGTTTCTACAATTGATCCTTTGACTTGTCTTTTCTTTGGTAGGAATTTTCTTCCCCCTGGGTTAATTTACTTAGCCTGTTAGCCATTCTCGTTACCTTCCCAGAACTGCCAGTGAAAAGCTTTTCTAAAGCACCAAAATGACCTAGAGATCTTTGTTCCGTTTTTAAAATCAATGTAGCTGAGTGGTCCCGAAAGAAACAGTGGTGAGCTACCTGATGTACATAGAAATTCCTGGTTTATCTGATAAAAATATAAATATTATAGTAAATCCAGAATTAAATTCCCATGATGATTTCTAAATGAAATTTAGACTCATTTGTCATTTGCAGACTTCTGAACATCTAAGTTCTTTCATGTCCTTAAGACAGCAGACCCTTCTTGTGTCAGACAAGGACACAAAAGTTTGCCTGTACACTAACAGCTCCTTTACCATAGACATATCACAGTCCCTATCACAAAAATATTGTCCATGAATTTTAGTAAAGGTGTCTTCACGATATCATTTTGTTTTCTCTTTAATATCCTTTTCTTGCTGCCTGAACAGCAACAGAGAATAACACCAAATTCGTGAGAAATGATGTGCACTTTCAGAGCCAATGGTGTACTATGAGTCCATCTCTTATTTATAGAAAAGGTCAGACTGGTCATTTCTAATTTCCTGATGCATCCTTTTGCGTTTCATATAGAGAATGGCCATATATTTCTCCCCATTCTCCAGATTCAATACCAGTCACCATGATTTCTCCAGAGATACACATGAAAAATGAACCTTTATATGACTGTTTACTTTTGCTAAGATTCAAATAATTCAGGTTTTTTTCTAATCTGTTGGAATATGAATATTTGATTAAACGTCTCATTTTTATACATAAGACTCGAGTGCAAATCCTCAGCATGGTGCTTGAAAGCAAATATAAACACTTGTTATGAAATGTTTTATAAGTTAAAATGTATTTCTTTATGATATCCAATCAGTTTGATCTCCATAAAGACCATAATTATGCTAGTCTGAATTAAAATCTAAAGTATAAAAATGAATCAACTTTCCTTTATTCATTATATGATACTGTCTTCAGTTAATACAGAGATTAACAGAGTGCCAAAGGAAGAGAAGGAATCTTTGTTTTATTTCATAGTTATGTATCAGCAGAGGGTATCACAGTGCTTTCCTCTCACTGCTTTATGGGCAACAGTTAGTTATACTGGGCTATGATATTCATGTCAAATATAGTCAAAGAGTTTTTGGTTACTCACAATAAATATTTATATGCTTATGCACAGTCTCATCCAGACAAGGAGAATGAGACACAAATCTGGAGCCCACACTTAATTTCCAGCCAAATCCTCCTCCCTGTTCTTTGCTGTTGTCTGACTCTGGCTGGCTTCATATTTAGCTCCTTATGAGGTATCTGCTCAGCTGGAAATGCAAGGCCTGAGAGCAATTTAGGCTGGGCAAGACTCAGTCTGTAGCATGTGTATAGATAACTTAGTAGACCAATATTGCAAACCAGCTGATTTTTTTATCCCTTTCCTATTGCATATTTTCCTTTCTAATTTTTTTTTTTTTTTTTTTTTTGCAAAGTGGTGTTGTATATGTTATTACTCACTTCTGTTTGGTGAAACTGAAAGCATTCTAGAAACATCATGCTCCGTTTGTAGAGAAAGACCACATAAGGCTTTAGGTTTGCCTGTGTGAATCAGCTCCAGGTAGATAACATCAAGAGGATTCATTGCTCAAGGACTAGGAATGTACAGTTCTGTTGGTCTGAGAGCTCCGAAGTGTCCAGTGTTTGCAG